CATCTTTCCCACTTCCTGTTCTGTTTAAACCTACAATAAAGCAGAGTCATGGCTTTACGGTGTTGTGTGCGTCAGTAAGCAGAAGCCGGGACGGCATGAGGCGATCTCTAGGGCTGTCAAAACGCCTGAAAAGCTCAATTCAAATTTATTTCTTAAATATTAGCAAAATTCTAATTATATTTGAATTCTGAAGGCAATACTGCACGTTAGAGGAGAACAGTGCTGCATCGTCTCCTGTGTCCACAAGAGGGCGCAAGCGAGCGCAATAGGCAAATATAAACCAAATCAAGCATCGCTTCTTTTATTGAAATGAAATTCACTTTTTAAAGTGCATTAACTTTTGAAACAATTGTTCTTATATAAAATATAATTCCCTTAATGTGCATGCAAGGAAAAATAGAGCATAAAACTGTGTTTGTGCATCAGTAAACACGCTTCAACCGACGCGTAATGAACTACATGAACACGAAACAGCAAACTGGCATTCAGAGACACCGGACGCTTAGCTCGTTCTGAGCGAGTGCGGAGCGCTGTCTGTTGACAGTGTTTCCAGCCGATGAAACACACACACACACACACACTCAGCTCTGACCGATGTGCCGGTTTCGTCAGCCTTTTCCCGCCACTCTTCACATTAGCGACGCAGCCGTACTGGATAAGCTAACAGAAACACACCGCGTCAGTGGCGTCGTCATCATGTCACGCACGCCTCTTGACACACCAATTCGAATGCACGGTTTTTGCATTCGATTGTGCAGTTTTTTTCTTCGTTTCAACGAATATTTGAAATTCACTTTTTTTTTTTGACAGCCCTAACGACCTCTGACCCCTTGACCCCGTACCGCAGTCTTTACTCCTGGCGATGACCTCAGCGCTGACCTCAGGGTCACTGTCGCCCCGGGCCTTCATGGTGGCGTCCAGGGGGAGGGCGGGGTCATCGGGGAACGGAGCGAGCCGATTGGTGGAGAGCCCGTGTCTCAGCGTGTGTGTGAGCTTCAGTCTGCGGAAGCGGTTGGACATGCGGTTCCACCAGGACTGATGATGACAGAACAAACACACGGACTAAACCAGCAGAGACGAGGAAGATCCTGCTATTAGAAAAGATCCTCACGCTGTTTAGGTTTGAGTCTATGGCAACGTCCTCGACTGTAAAACTACAATATAGCCTGTTAACAACTTAATTTTTGGGCAATTCTATAACTTGTCTATAAACCTCAGATGTAAAACATACAGAAATGATTATGCATATTATATGAAAAAGCAGAAATACAACGATTTCCCCTGAACACATTCATAAACATCAAACAGAGATGCGATCCAACGATCAGTTCCCTTCGCACGAATCACGAGCGGACAGGTATGAATAATGCAAGCAAATATTACGATTTTCACAGTTCTAAAAGTCCACACTCAATGGAAGCAGAATGCTCAATCCTTTAGGGGTCAGAGGTCAGGGGTCAGGGGGTCAGAGGTTAGGGGTCAGAGGTCAGAGGTTAGGGGTCAGGGGTCAGGGGTCACCTTTAGGCCACCTCGATCGTCCTGTGGCGGCGTCACACTGAGAGACGGCCTCCTCTTGGCAGGAGATGTTCCTCTGTGTTTGTTCTTGTCTCTGTCCAGCAGCATACACACCGACGCCAGCAGACGCACCAGCTCCGTGTCTGAGGACACACACACACACACACCAGCGTCAGACCCACACACACACACACACCCGCTCACCAGGGTCGTTCAGCAGCATACACACCGACGCCAGCAGACGCACCAGCTCCGTGTCTGAGGACACACACACACACACCAGCGTCAGACCCACACACACACACACACCCGCTCACCAGGGTCGTTCAGCAGCATACACACCGACGCCAGAAGAGGCACCAGCTCCGTGTCTGAGGACACACACACACACACACACACACACACACAAACACACACACACACCAGCGTCAGACCCACACACACACACACACACACACACACCCTCTCACCAGGGTCGTTCAGCAGCATACACACCGACGCCAGAAGAGGCACCAGCTCCGTGTCTGAGGACACACACACACACACACACACACACAAACACACACACACACCAGCGTCAGACCCACACACACACACACACACACACACACCCTCTCACCAGGGTCGTTCAGCAGCATACACACCGACGCCAGAAGAGGCACCAGCTCCGTGTCTGAGGACACACACACACACACACACACACACAAACACACACACACACCAGCGTCAGACCCACACACACACACACACACACACACCCTCTCACCAGGGTCGTTCAGCAGCATACACACCGACGCCAGAAGACGCACCAGCTCCGTGTCTGAGGACACACACACACACACACACACCAGCGTCAGACCCACACACACACACACACCCGCTCACCAGGGTCGTTCAGCAGCATACACACCGACGCCAGCAGACGCACCAGCTCCGTGTCTGAGGACACACACACACACACCAGCGTCAGACCCACACACACACA